GACATTATGTTCAACTAATTCATGTAAAATGTTCAATGTTACTTAATCGTTGCTTAAAGGAAACCATTATACAGACTCATCGCATGTACTATTTCCAGAGAGGGCCATCTTTGATAGACTAGAAAGACTTCTGCGTGGACTACTACCAACTAAAAAGCTACTGCTAGACTCTGAGAATATTTTCCGGAAACTGGAAAATAAATTTTATTACTAAGTGTTTATTATAATGAAAATTACAATACTTTGAAATACTTACAATTTACGAATTCCAGATTCAGAAGTTTTCTTCCAAGGTGCATCATCTGGCTCATAAGGAAGTGGTCCTTGAACTGGAGCATCTTTATCTTCTTCAACACTGCAAAAGAATAACAGTTATAACATAATTTTGGTGTAAAACCACAATTTAAAAATAATGGCATACGTTTCTGGCTTTGGTCGATACAGTTCTAGTTCATCCTCTAAGTCTGAAACCCTGGCTTTAAGTTCATTACGTTCATGTAATATTTCTTTTAATTCTGCAGTAGTAAACCTTGGTCTATCAGGATCATCAAGATCATAGACAGCTTTGTTTGTTAGATCTGGGCATCCTGGTAATTTACTTAAGTCTTCATTTTCTTTTTTCGCTAAACCAAGACGGCCTCGTAAACTGATCAGTTCACGATTTTGGTCTTGCAACTGAGCCAAGAAATCGGCTCTTTCTTCAACTAAACCACGGGCCTGCATTTGCGCTTGACGTTGTTTACGTTTCAATTCTCGCCCTACAACTCCGAGTTTCTCTACTTGTGCTGTTAACTATGGAGAAAATCAAAATATGTTAGAATAAAATGCATTTTTCCATTGGTTAAAACAATGCAAAAACTAAAGAAAGACTAATTGAGCTGCCTTTGATAATATCATATACTGTTAGTAATATTCTATTACTACTTATATCGAATTACATATGAACGTAAGTACCAATTTACATTTTCTATTTCCATATTCTTCTGTAACATCTCTTTGTCCCTTGCACGAATTTGTTCTCTTTGTTTATCTATCATGGATCTTAAATGTTGTAATACCGTTACATCAACTTCTTGACTAGCTGTAAAAGCTAAAAATATATTTGTGTAATTAATAATACATGCATATACGCGCATGAATACAAGGTGAGGCATTTAAAATTGTTGCAACAATTTAACATGGTCATTCTAAAAAGAAGAACGAATCGAATAAAAGTTACTTGTTTTCAAAGAAACACAAGATGAATTAAATCAAGCTTCTTCAAGTATTTTAAAACAATTCTTACTTGAAAATGTTAATTTTAAATACCTTACCCTTATAATATTTTCGATATTGTGTTAGTAAATAAAAGGTAGGTTGTTAGTACTTTGTTTACTGCTGTACTGACTATCACTACGTGATTCTTGAAGTGCTTCTGCTAATCGTCTATTTTCTTCCTGTAATCTTGTAACCATTCCCACTAAGTCACGAGATTCTTGCCTCCAATGTTCCTCAATTTGTTCTAGTTCCTACGTAATAATTACACGTTCATGAATAAACAAGTAAACCAAAAATAATGTTTGGAAATTCTTTAAGTGAAATACTTTTTCAAATCTTTGCCTATCCTCTGCTTTTTCAATCTTGTCACTTTCCAAATGGGAAATCTTTGCTCGTAACTCTTGAACTATTGTATTTTCTCGTTCATTTTTGGTCGCAAGATTTTCTAACAACTCCAATGCGTGTATCACCTTTGGCATAAGATTGGTCACAGATTGTACTCCGAAAGAGTCTATTAATTTCTCGCATTCCTTTCCTATTTCTGAAGCAATATCATAAACATCTACTACGGACACATCTGATAATACAGCATATTCCTCCATTTTATTAGTTGTATAATTTTCCAAGCAAAAAGGCATGAATACTTTTTATATCACAGTACACTATGTGTGAACCTGTTGATAATGAGAAAAGAACAACAGTTTAGTTATCTAATCCACTAAAACCTAGATAACGTGACAATACTGATAAGATGAAACAGTTTGCTTCAGTTGACAGTCCATGGTGTTTTCAAAATTTTTACATATATTATATTCAGGATAACAAAATAAGATATGACACAGCAAAGTGTAACATCTAAACTAACTACACAGTAAAACTTTAAAAAAATTGGAAAGTGCTGTCAAAGCCGCATATTCCGTATAAAAATAAATGATTATCATAATCTCCATAAAATATATTGAAGTAAAAATAATATGATTAACATAAATTTCTATAAGGTGTATTTATATAATACACCCTTGTATTAATTTAGGCGTGGCGACAATTAGCAAAGTAATATTTGACGTACAAGATTGTCAATAATAATACAAAAAACCAATTGGTGACATTTAAGTGCTTGAAACTATGAGATCACGATGATTAATCGCACCCACAATGCTTATGTCAAATTCCTCTCAGTACTACACATTATCGTAGTTAGAAGACATTTGTTATACATACACGTATATATATGCAGTTAATTTTATTATATGCACCATGAGAAATGAGTACATAAATCTAAATATCTGTAAAAAAAATTAAATATGTTAACAACCGGTAATCTAGTGACTCTTGACTAAGACTAGCCTTTTTTCTGGTTCCGCGATTTCTATGAGCTCCATGTTCAACAAAAGCAACCAAAGCATTGCAACGATTGGATCTTTCCGATCGGACGACTTAAAATTTTTTGTGATTGAATAATAAAATATTTTCAATTAAAATTATTTATTTCATATAAAACTACAAATTAATAATATCCATTTGTAATTTTTGTATTCGTTTCATTACGTATAATGAAAGAAAAACACGTTATCAAATTATTATTTGTAAATACGAAATTGCACTGTTTTATAATAAAATGTAAATTAATAAAATTGTTTCTATTACAAAAGACACATATTTATTTCAGTTATATATTTCTGTTTTATGAAATTTATATAGGAAGTAGGCATTAAAATATCGGAGTACGATTTTACCGGTGGATTCAACATACTAAAATAAAAAAAATGTATATAAATATTTTCTGTTTGATCATGTTACCAAGTTACAGCTATTTCTGTAAACTAAATAAATAAAGATCGATAGGGAGAGTAAATGTTATATTTCATTTGTCATAAGTTATAATAGTTAAATTTTTATACATTGTTTTTTATTAAAACATTTTCAATATAACACAATAATATATACTCTATTATATATTATATTTACAATGTAC